TGGAGCAGGTCAGTGAGGGCTCCCGCTGGGTCTGCAGCACCAACACACGGCCTGTGTGAGACAGGAGTACCAAATACTCTGCGGTTCTGCATTCAGTCTCTCGCTGGAGTTGACAAACTCAGAGCTTCAGGGTTTCCTGGTTCCATAACTAGTGCAGAGTGTCGAGTTGTGAAAGTGCCTCTGGGCCCATGAGTGGGGAATTCCTTATTTCCTTCACAAACAGCCTGAGAATCACAGCAAAAGGATGGGTTCCTCATCTGTGCCGTGTCACTTCCCTCTCCTGAGAATGGGAACGAAACTTAAGCGACATAAAAAGCAGGTTCCTGGACAGGCTGTGCTCGGATCTGTTCTAGCTGGGTTTGCACAGGTGATTACAGTATGGATTGCTTTCCACAGCACATGGGTTTGCCAAGACAGGGATACAAACAGACTGAATTTATGCTGCAGTGACAGCTCAGGCAGGTGCTGGAAGTTGTGAGAGTGATTGGAATGGGAGAATCACTGACTGATTCACTTTCAGATGCCCGAGGACCCCGATGAGCTGGCAGTGCTGGAGGAGATCCAGCAAGAATTGATCTTGCAAGGTAAGGGCTCTACAAGTTTTCTGGTTCCTGTTTGATGTGTAATATTTGGGAGACTTCCTAGTAATGGAGAATAGCTGAGGCTGCACTCCTTGGTTCTTGCAGACCTCGTGACACAGGGGAAGAGCCTCCTTGGAAATTCTTGGTAACCTCTCTGTTGAGGCTTTGAGGTACTGAGACCCTTTTAAGGGTTTAAATGACATTTTAGGGTCTGTGAGAGAGGCCAGAGAAGCAGGACTGAGGTGTCTGGGAGCTGTATAAATCAATTCAGGGGGAGACCCACGTGAGACCAGCCAAGCCATAGAAAAACTGGACTAGCAGGAATTATTTCAGCAAGTGTAGAAATCTGATCCAAAGGGATAAAAGTTCCTAGAAAGTCTTATCTCCCCCAGGTTCTGTGTGCCCAGCAGTCCCTGAGGGTGTTTTGCTGTGCTGTTGCAGAGCAGTTGGTGATCGAGGAGTACGAGCGGAGCCTGAGGTTTGATGAGGAGTGTCTCAATGCCATGCTGGAGGGCCTGGATGCCACTGACAGGATCATCTGCCCCGTGTGCAGGAAGTAAGAAAGCCCTTGGCATTGGAAGGAGATCCTCCACTCCCCTAAGAGAGTGGAGAGAAGAGAGGCTGCTGTTCATTTTAACAAGATAAAAACACGAGAGCAATGATCTCCTAAATCTAACAGGGTTTTTGCTCTTTCCAGGAATAACCTGACTGTGAAGACTCACATGGTTTGTTGCCAGTGTGGATTGTACATCAGCACACAGGTAGGCTGAGCTGTGACATGTTACATGTGGCACCTCTGCTGCTGCTTTAAGAGGCAGTTTATGTGACAGAGCAACTTCAGATGACTTTTAACCCATTATTCTCAGGACATGACAGAAGGGAAGCTTCGGTCACTCCTGGAAAGCACTGTGACAGAGCACAGTCAGAGGTGCTTCCACAGCCCAGAGTTCACAGTGACCAGTGGCATGGAGGAGGAAACCACTCTTCTCATGAGCTGTCCGGTGAGTCCCAGTGTCAGGTTCCTGGAGAGGATCTCTGCTTGGATCCACTTCTCAATTACAGGGGCAGAAACCACAAGTCCATTGATCCCAGGGGTTTATGGGGTTGTTTTTTCACAAAATTCCTTGGAAATGGCTTTACCTTTGACCACCAGTAATGGTAAAAAAGCAGAGAAAGAAGAGCCAAAGTACACACCTTAACTGCTGGATTAGGGAGACTTTCAAGGTCCTGTCAAACTTAGTGCCTTACCTTTGTCACACCTTAGCCAACAACCTGCAAGTCTTGTGTGGAGCATCTGTTCAGATAAGTGGTTCATGAAGAAACAAATTTTAAGAATTACTGCAGTTTAAGCCTCCTCAAAAAGTTCATCCAGAGCCTTTAGAGAACACACACCAGCCCTTTTGGCTCAAGCCAGAGCTGGCACGTGCTTTGCTGTGTATGGAAAACCAGTGTGAGGACAGTGAAAGGAACAGAGCATTTAAATAGAATCATGGGATTGTTTAAGTTGGAAAAAGACCCCTTAGCTCAAGTCCAGCCATTCCCCCAGCACTGCCAAGGCCACCACTAACCCGTGTCCCAAGTGCCACATCCATGTCTGTTAACTCCCTCCAGGGGTCAGCCCTGGGCAGCCTCTGCCACTGCTTGACAGCCCCGTTGTGAATTTTTTTCCTTATCAATAGTTTTGAATAGTTTTTCCTGCTCAGATACTTTTGAAGTTTACACATTAACATAACTTCTCTGTTCAACTTACCTTTTGTAAAGGTCTGTGACTCCTGGACAATTCTCCTCTGAGTTGATTCAGCTGCTGCTTTACTTCTGGAGGGACTTCAATACTAAAATCCACACAGAGCTGCTAAGGATTGTTGTGTATATACTCGTACCTGCTGTGTCAGAGAGACACTTTTAAAGGCAGTAGTATTGCCTTGACCTGCACTTTTAATGGCACATTTATTTTGAAATAAATATATTTAGTTTATTTTGGCCTTTGTGTTGTCTTTAACTCTGCACCAGTGATCTCACAGCTCATCTTGGACTTCAGCTGTTTAAACTTAAATAAACTTGAGGCAACAACTGAAAGCACCAGTTCAGAGTGGAAGTCTGCAGCTGACAAACACTGGCATCACTTTCATGGCAGGAAGAAGAGAAACCACCCTTTTCAGTGATATGTTGAACAGTTTTTATTCTTCACATTCATTCTTAATTGTACAAAACCCACCACGCAGGGCAAGGCAATTCCAGACTGTGACGTCAGTGAACTTGATCTGGGCTGCAACATAAATACAAATCCCCAAATACAAGTGAGAATCCTCATTCTCCCCTTCTCCAAATTCCAACTTACTCTCTGTATCCACTGTGAAGATACATTTGGGCATTGCTGGATGAAGCAGCACTGTGGAATACCCACACTTGAAGATAAGTTTCCTAGCCTACCCTACTGGCATTTGACAAAGCTTTTGAGGTCTTCAAGGAATTTAATGTACTCCTGGTGCTCCAGTGCAGTGCTGAGCTCTATTAACTCGTCAGCAAATGTGTTGTCCACTCCTCTGTCAGCCAGGAAATCCATCAAGTGATCATAGAGAGCCTGGAAGCAAGGAACAGGAAACTTCCTTAACAGAGTGGACCTGGCTAGGGGTTGCTTTTAAAATGTCCCCTGGCAGCTGGAACTTCTTCCTCCCAGGAAGATCAGGGGCAGCTCCCACAGGAGAGTATTCCCTTCTTGCCGGGGCTGGCCTTGAGTGGAACATTTGGAGGGAAGGTGCCATGGAACAGGTCATATAAACCCAAACACAACATTACAAACAAGCTGATCCACAGACTTTGGGAGCCATCAGGTGAGTCTGTCAAGGATTACAGAGGCCAAGCTCTGCCTGTCCCTCCACACACAGCCACGGCCTTGGGGGTGAACTGCTTTACACTGTGGAAAGGTGGTATCTCATGTAAATGTTTGTTTGAAACGCCTAAGCCCTTTACAGTCATGAACTTTTGTTTCTTTCTGTTCCATACACGCTTTTGATTCATTTTCTGCCAGAGAGGGGAAAAGAAAAAGCAGTGTGGGATGTTCCAGAGCACACTAACCAGTTTTAACACGAGTGCTTCCTGGAGGGATACACTCCAGGAATAAAGTTTAAACTGTATGACAGACAGCCACAAACTAACAATTTAAGCTTCTGAAAGCCTGGCATCCAGAACATAAGCAGATGCCAGATTCTTGGGGATATTAAATTTTTAGTGTTACAACTGTAACAACACACCTGGAAAACCAGGGCACAATGTAGCTTATCAGATCCCCCCCACAGATGCCTTTATCTACAGATGGTATCTGATAAGCTACATTGTTAAACAAATATAAGTTAAACACAAGGATCAGAAGATGCTGAGCCAGTGTGAAAGCATCTCCAGTGTGAAATCAGCCTAGAAAGCCTGGAGCAGAAGGAAATCCAGTGTCTGTGTCTGGAATGTCACCAGCACTGCACGGCCGTGGGACCAGGTAACAAGCCCCAGCCTGCAGCAGCACCACCCCACGGGAAGCTGGGCAGAACAAGGAAATCCTTCTCTCAGACATCCCCTTTCATTCCCAGCTCGGGAGCCAAGGGACAGAGTTCCCTCTGGAGCCTGCCAGCAGCACCTACCCAGTCCAGGGAATCCGTGTTGAGGGTGTAGTTGGTGTCCTTCCAGTCGGACTCTCCAGTGGGCTGAAAACTGACCTCCCGAATGGTGAAAATATCGCTTTCCTCCTCTCCTTCATGGCCAATCTGGAACAGGAGGAGAGATGTGAGACACACAACTAGCTCCAGTGACTGGGCATGCTCAGCCAACCGCATCCCGAGGCTGGGAATACCGCAGGAAAACCCCCAGGGCCAGACAAGCTGGGCCCCTCCCCTCTCCACACGTGCCTGTGAGGACAAGCACAGACATGCAGGAGAACACAGGGAATCCCTTGAGCTCCTGCTGCCAGAAGCAACCTGGTATAAATCAACAGCCTGAATTTTACAAACAAATAAAAACCTCTGTGGTTCTAAATCTGTCTTCCCACATCTGTCTCACCTTTGTCAGCCAGGACTGGCTGCAGAAATACCCATTAACATTTACAAAGCAAACCACAAAGTTCAGTGTGAACAAAAGCTCTCTGTTCTATTTTCTTCCCACCTTTCTTTTTAATCCCTTCTTCTCCTTGTGACATCTTACAACACTGATTGGCAAGTTACTGGCACAGTGTATTAAATCTCTTGGCTTGGCCATTCCTGCTCACCCCTCCCAAGCTGCCATGATTTCAGCCCTGCCTCCCTGCCCTAATGTAGTTCAATAAACAGCCCAACAAGCAGCTGATCAGAAACACCAGGGCAGGATGTGAGGAATGCCATGGAACATCTCCTCTCCAAACAGTGGTCTTGCAAACATAAAGCCTTTTTTTTTTGTGATTAAAAAACCCACAGAGATAAGAGGAGAGTGCATTATTGTGCAGATTCAGAAAAGCAAGAGACTACAAAGACCAGTTAGACCCCAACAGGGGCACAGCTACACCACAGTCAGGCAGGAAATGTGAGCAAATCCCAGCCCAGAGGTGACACACAGTGATACCAACCTCATCCTCAGGGTAATGGCAGTCCAGAACAAGGGTCTGCTTTGTGTCATCCTTTATTACTTCCACAACAAAGTTTGGAGTTGATGTAAGTTCAGGCTAAAAAAAGAGAACAGTTGCATCAGCACTGGAATCTGAAGAGGAGCTGATGCAATCACAGCACAACCACACAGCCCATCCAGCAGAGATTATTCCCTGACACCTTCCACTAGCCCAGGTTGCTCCAAGCCCCATCCATCTGGCCTGGAACACTTCCAGGGATGGGGCAGCCACAGCTTCTCTGGGCAACCTGTGCCAGGGCCTCACCACCCTCACAGGGAAGAATTTCTTCCCAATATCCCACCTAACCCTGCCCTTTGTTAGTGAAAAGCCTTTATCCTGTCGCTCCATGCCCATGTCCAAAGTCCTCCTCCAGCTCCTCTGCAGCCCCTTTAGGCACTGGAAGGTGCTAGAAGGTCTCAGAGCATCTTAAATCTCTCCCTGTAGAGCCTTCTCACCCTGCTCTGACTTTCTGCAGCAGAGAGGAAGGTCACAGCCAAGTGACAGGCGGGCCTGAAAAACCTGCATTTTGTGGCTTAATGCTCCCAAACATCAAGTGAGGGGGGCAAAAAGCCTCAACACTTGAGGGAAAGGTTCCAACTCTCCTCTGTCCCCTTCACTGAAGTGCACATCAAGGTTAAGTTACCTCCTGCTCATCAGGTTTCTGCCCTTCTTGTGTGTCGTCTTCAGCCGAGGGTGGAATGCTGTTATTGATGTTGAATGTAACCGTTATCCTTCAGAAAGAAACAGAAACACCTCGTTTGAACAAAAAACCCCACCCATCAGAGTGGGCACTTTGAAGCTTTTGCTCAGAATTCACACAGCGTGAACAAACGCAGGTAAGGACACACCTGGGAGAGAAGCTGCCCCCACCAAGTGCTCTCAAAAACCTTTTCCAAGTTTCACTGAACTGTTATTTTTCTGTTATTTCTGTTATTTCACAGGGAATATTTCTGTTATTTCACAGGGAAGACCCTGTTGAAACGTTGTAACACAAAATACAGTAACAAACTGGTGGGGAAAAGAAGTGCCTTTGGCCCAAAGCTGTAAAACGAAGGGCCTCTGCACCATCCACTGCGGGGCAGGAGCCCATGGAGAACCCTGGTCACTGTGATCCACCTGCCCCCAGGCACAGGGAATGGGCCATTCCCAAATCCCACTCACTTTTCCCCGGCGATCTTCCGCACCAGCCTGGCCTCCGTGCCATGGACCTCCAGCTCCCAGCCCCCAGAGACCTTGGGCAGGGACTTGTGCTTCTGGATCTTCTTCTCCTCCTTGATCTCATCCGTCAGGAACTGGGCGAAGGCTTTGTCTCCTGGCGGGGAAAGAAAAGGGCGTTAGGGAAAGGGGGGGATTTGGGAAAGGAGGAGTTGGGAAAGGAGGGTTAGGGAAAGGGAGGGTAAGAGGGGTTAGGGCAAGGGGGGTTAAAAAGGGGAGGGGGGGTTAAGGGAAAAAGGGGAGCTAGGGAAAGGGGAGATTAATAAAAGGCTGGGGTTAAGGAAAGGGGGTTGAGGAAAAGGTGTGGGTTAAGGAAAGAGGGGAGTTAGGGAAAGGGGGAGGTTAGGGAAAAGAGGGGCTTAGCGAAAGGGGGGGTTGGGAAAAAGAAACTTAGGGAAAAGGGGTGTGGTTAGAGAAAGGGGAGGCTAGGGAAGGAGAGGGTAGAGAATGGGGGGAAGGCAAAGGTGGGAGTAAGGAAAGAAGGGGTCAGGGTAAAGAGGGGTCAGGGGAAAGGGGGGGGGTTAGGGAAAACGAGAGTTAGGGAAAGAGGGAATGGGGTTAGGGGAAGGGGCGGCAGGGAAGAGAGGAAGGGGTGGGCGAAAGCCGCCCCCTGACCCCCCACCGTGCTGCCGGGATGTTGCGGGGGGGGGGGAGGGGCGCGCACGTGGTCCGCCCGCGCCCTCCCAAGGGCAGCACGCTCGTCCTCCCTCCCGCTCACGCCTCGGTGTGCAGCCCCCGCAGTCCGCAGGACACGCGGCCGGCCGGAGCCCGCCGCGGGCGCAGCAGGCGCCGTGCGCCCGCGCCGCGCCCAGCTGCCAACAGCGAGCGCGCCGGGCCGGGCGCGCCCGAGGGCGCGGGCCGGGAGGGCGCGGGGAGGAGCGGCCCAGAGCTCGGCCGGAGGGGCGCGGGCAGCGGCGGGCGCAGCACGCGGGACGACGGCGCGCAAGGGAGCGGGCGAAGGAGCATCGTGCGGGACTCGGCACCTGAGAGGACGCCCCGCCCGGAACCGCCCCGGCCTTACCGGCCCCGGCGGGCCCGCGCCGGCCCCGCGCGCGGGTTCGAGTCCCGGCCCCGGCAGGAAGGAGAGCGTCACCAGGGCAGGGCGTTCCCGGGATAGCTTTCCAATGGAAGGGGCTGGG